GTATTCGTGTCGTATCGCTTTCAATTTAAACAAAAACATGTCTTTCATTTTTCAGCCAAAAAACTGGACTTCTTATTAATATTGTTTTTCGGCGCACGCCAATATGTGATAGTAGACCGAACGCTAGTCTACAGAAAGCTAGAGGCTTAACTTGGACTAGTTTGTTGCGCTTCGTTTCCTAGCTTTTCTTACTGGGCTTGCAAAGGTAATAGTGAATACCATAGTGACATGTCAGTCGTACTATCTGCCTGTACAACTAGCTGCTACGGCAGCTGTCAGAGCCCGATAAATGCGGCCCAAGGCAGAACACAGCGGGACAACTGAGTTCCGTTAACAGTTGTTGAACGCTTATCAATAGCCACTTCCGTCAGCTTCCGTGGAGGGTGCCGTAAATTGAAATAATTTCGAGTGGATTCCTTACGGAGATTTTAAACAAATCCAAGAGCTGTACGTCTACTCCTTCCTGCTGACTACACATTCATCCATACAAAGGAATTTTACAGTGCAGCAAAATTGCCTTATTAGCTACACATAACTTTAATTTAGCTATCGTTAGAATCTAACCAGCTAAAACTTCATTACTCAGTTTAGCCACAAATGTACCTCTTAATTTATGCAGTCGAGTCTCTTAGTTTAGATTTGCTTATCTTTGCTAGCGTGGTCTAGTCCTCAAAGCCTAGTTATAGCTCTTTAGCCTATTGCAGTCTCGGCAACACTGTTGTTCTCTATTACCGTACTTGTAGCACACCTATCTAGAAAGATGATGGTCTAACCTCTGACAAATGGTAGCGCCAGTGCTAGCACCTGTACTACAACACTCTATGTTGAGATTGAGGGGATGTGAGCCCAGTGCTGACTTTAATCAGCGTTACTTTTTGACTAATAATACAGCCAGAAATAGTACCAGCGACACTATCACTCAGCTGTACTCCTTGTTGGTAGCATTATAAATATCAGTAGCAGTACCAGTCTTGTTTTCCAGAACTCTGACTTGACAGCTACTGAAGGTGGGTATTTACTTGGAACCCACAGTCACACTCCCTGCTGGGGTCAAGAGGATATGAGCAGACGTTCTGCAAAGTCTAAACTACAGATGGATACTGTGGTAGGCCTATAGGTAGCCTATAGGCGACAAACTGCATGACAACAGGGCATAGTAGGACTTGTACGTTACTTTACAAAAGCCCTATTATTATCGAAATGTTAATCACTATTACTTCACACAGATTCGGAGTGCATACTGCGTGCGACTTCTTTAAAAGCACACACAGGCAGTACATATAGCATACTATTTACTGGCCTTAGTAAGCATGATTACTAGAAATTAGCACTTTTAGCATAAGCACGTACCTATATCAGCAGTATCTTAGTTCATGCAGCTCGATGGATTAGAATTGAGAGTGCAGAAACCAAGACAAACGCTGCTGTGCTCAGGACCCCGGAATAGTTAAACCAGATTCACACATCTTGTTCAGACCAAGAGGATATGAGCCCTGTGCTGACTTTACTCAGCATCATTTCTGACTTACAAAACAGTCAACATTAGAACCAGCAAATGCTATCACTAAGCTACCCCCTAGTAAGTCATATTAGACGTAGCAGTAGTGGTAGTTGCAGTTGGAGCACTTGCTTCTAAAAGTCAGGCTAGATACTTACTATAGGTGAGTGAGGGTAGACAGTGCAGTAGTACCCGCGTAAAGCCTACTGTCTTTAAAGATCAAGTTACGGAGTGTTTCTGGCTGCATCTGGAGAAAGCGGATTACACGTGACTCTATCTCCACTTTGTCTTGGCACCGCTTAAAACAGATGATGGTTTAGAGTGGGGTAGATGGCGACTCGTCTACTTTCACTATACCTGGCAGAGTCACCACCCCTGCTCTCGGGCAAATGGTGGATATTACCGATTAAGTGTGTGTGGTCGAACTCATAAAATGCTCTTAAATTTTCATCCCCTGTTTGTTTTCTTTTTAGCACTACAGACTGACGCATTTACCGGACACACTATTAGCCCAGTGTAGGTCGTGTGTGAAGCGGCTGATAAGTGGATTGGGAGTCAGGGGGTGCCGGCTCATTCTAATTCCCAGGTTGTCCAAATCCTGGTGCGTTGTACCAAACAGGCCATCTCGTGCTGTGGCGCGCGCAGACGGGTTCACTGTCAACCACTGTGCCCATCCCATCTCGGGCGACCGATCAGCTAAACGTTAATGGTGCGGGACATAGTGATGTACAGTTCTTTCCTCACGTTCTCATGTGCTTAAGGCAATCACGCTGCGCTAAAAGCCGCGACTTGTAGACTTGCCAACTGACGGAATAACCTGGAGCGCGTAGTCAGTTCTATGTGTGTCTTGCTGTGTGGAGTGCCTCACTAGCGGACTAGGAGTCAGACTGCAATGTCTCCTCTTTAGTGTGGCCTTTATGACATTACCACATAAGCGGAAGCCTAGCAAGGTGTGTTGTTGTGGCGCGCATTGGAGTGGCATCCGGCCAACCACCTGCGCCCATCCCCTATCTCGGGTCTTCTCGAATTTTGTCTTGACATTGGGTGCAGGTGAGGAAATGAAGAGGCAGTGGTGGAGATCCTGCGCGAGTCTACTTTCACTAACATTCAGTGTCAATCACCTACGCCTTCAGCTTGCTGAAGCTCTTGCTGGACATCCCCAGATACGAGGGTCGAACTTTCGTAGTAGTGATTAATAAACCTA